AACTACTGCTGCTGCTGTTCCTCAAAACCTGGACCTGTGCAAAAATGCACAGAAGTGTAGCATCAGCACAACCGACCCCATGTGCTGGTAAGTGTCTAGCCTAACCCCGGCGAAGTAGTGACGAGGCTAGACTGGACACCACATAAACCTGTGCAGTTATAGATATACAGCAGAAATCGAATACAAAGCAATTACCAACATGGGAGGGGAAACATGCTATGGGGAGTTACAATAATAACAATAATCCAGAGCAACAACTAAAGCAACTTGGGTTCACAGTGAACAAGGAGTCAATACTCAAATGTAAACACATAGCCTCAATAATTGTTGCGGCGTGCAACCCGCTCCATAATTACCATTGTTGCGGCGTGCAACCCGCTCCACATCATATATCATTGTTGCGGCGCGCAACCCGATCCTCATATATTATTGTTGCGGCGCGCAACCCGATCCTCAACATCATTGTTGCGGCGCGCAACCCGATCCTCAATATCATTTAACAGTCTGACTTCCCAAACAACAGTCACAATTAAGGGGCATAAAATAAGCAAATATTTGACAACCATCCCGGCAAGGGAAAGAATCCAACAAGTTCAACCAAACATCCCGACAAGGGAATAATCAACAACGCTTTCTCTTTCTTACTTTCCTTATCTTATAATTCATTTTACTATTTTGAGCAAATGCTCCAAAGAATCAAGTCATTTCGTATACTTTCAATATTCGTATTACAATTCGAACCAATGCTCCAGGAATCAAATGATCCTATTACCGTTCACATGTTATTCACAACATATAGAAATCCTCCAATAAACACGGAGTTCACAACCAAATCATGATAATCACATTATAAGGACTCACGGTCATGCTAGACACCAATGTATAGATAGTCGTCACCATGCCTATACATCGTACTCGATCACATAGCAATTAGCAACAAGACTCAACTCCTATTCCCTCAAGCTAGGGTTAAACCAAACACTTACCTCAAAGCCTTGAAATCCACTTAATCCTCAACTATCGCTTTACCTCGTGATTCCACCTCCAATACAGTGATATCTAGGCATAATTAATTCAACAATATTAATAAAGACTCAATGGCAACTTCTCATAGCCTAGATATAAATTTTCTAGCATTATTTCAAAAATACCAAAATTAGACACCGGGCCCACATGGTCCAAACTCTAGGCTCGGACCAAAACCCGATCACCCATAACCCCACGAGTGCAATATATAATTTGTTTTAAGATTCGACCCCAAATTGAGGTTGAATCACCCAAAATTTTCAAAACCCTAATTCTACCCAAAACCCATAATTTCTACCTTGATTTTATGATTTAGGGCTAGGATTTCAGTAATTAGATGAAGAAATAATGAGGGAAAGATGTTAAGATTACTTACCCAAAGAGTTATGGAGGAAGGAGAGCTTGTTTCGTCTATGGAGGGTTTAAGAGGAGAGCCCGTGTGAAAAGAATGAAGAAATCCCGTCACTGGTTATGTTTTTAGGCTTTAAAATAACTGGGCGAATTTGCCCTACGCGATCGCGGATATAGGGATGCGATCGCGAAGGGTTACACGGAATGGTCAACGCGATCGTGTGGGTTGTAATGCGATCGCGTAGGGGAATACTGGGGGTCCAAAACTTGGTCTATGCGATCGCAACCCTACTGGTGCGAACGCATTGAAGGAAGTGCTGAGGCAGTGCGATCGCATGATCAAGTACGCGAACACGAAAGAGCAAAGAGCCAAAGGAACGCGATCGCGGGCTGAAGATTGCGATCACGTAAGAGGAAATCACTGAGCAAAAATTGCAGAAAAATCTGCTACCATTCTAAGTGCAAAAACACCCCGAACCACCTCCGAAAACACTCCCGAGCCCTCGGGGCTCCTAACTAGTCACACACACTAACTCAATAACATCCTACGAACTTACTCGAGCGATCAAATTGCCAAAATAACATCAAAATCATTGAATCAAGCCTCAAACTCATCATTTCTATTTCAAACTTCATAAACTTCCAACTTTAGATAATTAGGTCCGAAACACGTCAAACGACGTCCGATTTCGACCAAACTTCACAGAAAGCGCTTAAACAATATATAAGACTTGTGCCGGGCGTCGGAACCAAAATACGTGCCCGATACCACAGTCTTTTAACAAATTTTCATTTCCATTTTCCTTAATAATTTCAGAAAAACAATTTCACAGAAAAATTCATTTCTCGGGCTCTAGACCTCGGAATTCGACTCCGGGCACATGCCCGAGTCCCATATTTTTCTACGGACCTTCCTGGACCGTCCAATCTCGAGTCCGGGTCCGTTTACCAAAAATGTTGACCGAAGTCAACCTTAAACATATTAATATCAAAATTCTTCAAATTTTTCACAGAATTCACATATTTCAACATAAAAAGCTTTTCGGCTACGCGCCCGGACTGCGCACGCAAATCGAGGCAAGTAAAAATGAGGTTTTCAAGGCCTCGGAAGCACAGAATGAATGAGGAAACAGGTGATGACCCTTTGGGTCGTCACAATTATCTCTGCCCCTCGGGGTAGGGGTAAGGTCTGCGTACATATTACCCTCCCCATACCCCACTTGTGGGATTATACTGGTCTGATGTCGTTGTTGTTGTTGTTGTTGTTGAAATGACTTATTATCATGATTTGCCAATTCTATCTCCACTTCATTGTAAACATCTAGAAGAGCACGATAAGAGAGTTTCATATATGGCGGTAACTCTTCTGAAGCATCAATGTTCCACCTACATATATATGTCAAATATCACATTAAATTCAATCAAATTATATTCTACTTTGCAAAAAAGCATTGATAAGTTCTTATTTTCTCTACCTAATTAATATTTTTCCAAATGTAAAACATAAAGAAGTTGTAAGCTATTGATGTGACAAAATTAAAGAATTACCTTTCAATTGCCTTTGTGAGGAGAGTAAGTTCATTTAGTGTTCCATATGTATCGTAAGTGTCATCCATAATAGAACAGAAGCATAACACTTTGGTTAATATTTTTCTGGCAACGCTATATTGAGGCTCAAAGTATACACCTAAACTCCAGAAGTATAACTCAACCACTCTGTCTCTTGCAAAAGATAGTGCCCCCGCGATTTTCGATTCTTTCCGCCACCTAAAATGTAAAGTATATTAATAGTATAAAAGCTATTTACACTGTCAGTGAATATAAGTTAAATTTTGTAAAGTTAGGTTAGTGAATGTCTAGCTTGCCAGTTACCTAGTGATATCACATAGTTCCCTTTTCTGCAACCTTTGCAAGATGTTGAAGTCCAGTTTAGCAAAATTTAGTAACACTTCATTGCGTGATTCATCTTCTTGGTAGAATGAAATGTATTTCCTCGTTCCTACCCTTGCTATAGTATTATTGATTGGATAATTTAGTGCATCGTTCACATTCATCGCGCGAGAATTGCTCAATATAGGCAACATTTGCTTCAAATGAGTGGTGGTGAAATTAACTGCTTCGTCTAGTATTTCTTCATTGTGTACACTGAACTGTGTTGCCTCATACAGGCTCAACAATCCTTGCACGTCGCTAACCAAGGCTTCTTGTAATTTACTTGGTCGTCAGTGAACTTCGTAAAAACATCTGTTCCAAAATAATTTTTATATTATCATTGTACAAAAGTTAACTCTTATTAAAAAAAAAGGGACATGACTCCATATGAGCAAACAAGTTTGAGTAACAATTTACCAGTTATAGTTACCTTATAAGTGATCTGGTTATGTTAATATTTTTTTGCACGGACAACTTAAACTCATTGCATAGTGTCAAATAGGAGGAAGATTACTTACCAGATGAAACATGATAACCTTGTTGCCTAAGTAACCGAAAGCTTAGAGCAACAGCATGAAGGTCGTTTTCATCAACTTGGTCAATCCATTCTTCATAACTAGTGTAGATATAACTCAATGATTCCTCAATCTCATGTTCAAAATGGTACGCCACTCCAAGCAATTGGATTTTGTTGATTATGTCAAGCTTTTGCAAAGATTTGGAAGGAGTCATCACTAGCATTTTTCTCACTTCTTCTTTTAGGTCCTCATGCTTCTTCTCTTCCCATTCATTGGCTACCTACACGAGTAAATTTTGAAATTTGTTACTATGGAGTATATGTTAGTACTAGATGCCGTTTGCCCGTGTTAGCACGGGTCCAACAATTTGTGTTATATTATTTTATCTCATAAAAATTTAACGTGGTGATTAGTTTAAATTCTGTTATTTAAGTTAATTTTTTTTTTTAAATTTTGTTTGGACTTAAACTTTACTCAATGAGAAATAATTTTCAAACAAATTTCAAAATTTTTATTTCTTTATTTCAATCTTTGAAGTTGAAATAACGAACCAAAATTTAATACAAACAGTATTTTGCAAATAATATATCAAGTTGAAATATTATATATCCAAATTAACTGACCTAACAAAAATTATTTGCAATTTCAAGTAAATATTATTGAAATGCGTACAATAAGTTACAATATTTTTTATATTGTGTAATTAAAAACCAAAGTTAGCACACAAAAATACGTAATTACATAAGAATGTCAAGATAATAATTGGGCAAATCAACGTTAGATATATCAATGATGCTAACATATGAAATTATAATTTACTTTAGTAGTTCAATAGCATTATTATGGTATGAACAAATGAACTCTAGGTAAATAATTATATTATTAAATTACATATAGGATAAGCCTTCTAATGTAACTTTTTTTCCCCTAAAACATTGAATTTTCTGAGAAAAATAATTCAGCATAGTGATTCAGGAAAAAATGATGGTTTAAAGAGGGATCCCTTTTTAATGAAATAAACTCGATCCACCTTCTTCCATAGCCTTCAACATGTCGCAACTCCAAATCTCCACCACAAAGTTTGTCTCAACGTGCATAGCACCCCGGTCAAATTTCTCAGACAAAAATCATGATTACCGTCAAATAGGTTGCGGCTAGAACTAAACCCGCCAAGATGAACCTATCTTGAACCTCGCTCTGATACCACTTGTTAGGATCGAAAAAATCAGGTGTTATGCGGAAGCTAACAAAGCAAACCTTGCACGACGATAAATCAAACAACAAAAGAGAAATCTACCTAAAGAGACACAAACATATAACGTGGTTCGGTCAACTAACCTAAGTCCACGGCGGAGATGAGCAATCCACTATAATAAAAGAGCGTGCAAAATATCGAGAGAACAACCTCACGAAGAGGCACACACAAGTGACACACTAACACTTGTCCCGCAAAGTTCTCCCCCTAAACACGACTCTCAAACCCCATATGGCTACATTGTGGATGCTACTGAATGAGAAGGGCGGATCCTCAATTTATAGAACTCCAAACATTTTCCTACAAGAAAAAGGACTAGCCAAATATAGGAGAATTATAATTTCCTTTTATAAGAAGGAAAAATCCAATTATGGTAAACATGTTGCCCTTTCTTTCAAGGGATAGGAAAACCAAATCTATATATTATTAAAAGGAGAGGATAAAGCCCTCTCCTTAAGCCAAGTGGCAGCATAAAAAAAAAGCCACATGGCATAATTATACTATTTAGTTTTTTAGTTAATAATTAGTTATTAGTTATTAGCTAGATCTGGCATGGACGAGTTTGGAATGGCAAACGACTTATATAAATATTACCAGTTTGATAATGATAGGTATATTGGCAAGGTTTTTATATGGATGTGCACAAGATTGTGCAAGTGGATCTCAAATTTCTTGCCAAACCAGTTGTCTTATCAGCTGCCAAGGACCTCATTAGTCAGATTTTTCTCTAATCCATTGAGATACTTTAAAATACAGAAGCACGTAATCTCGAGGCTAACTTATTATTAAAAGGAGAGGATAAAGCCCTCTCCTTAAGCCAAGTGGCAGCATAAAAAAAAACCACATGGCATAATTAGTTACTAATTAGTTTTTTTAGTTAATAATTAGTTATTAGTTATTATATTTGAATTTTAGTTATTAGCTAGATCTGACATGGACGAGTTTGGAATGGCAAACGACTTATATAAATATTACCAGTTTGATAATGATAGGTATATTGACAAGGTTTTTATATGGATGTGCACAAGATTGTGCAAGTGGATCTCAAATTTCTTGCTCGGNCAAACCAATTGTCTTATCAGCTGCCAAGGACCTCATTAGTCAGATTTTTCTCTAATCCATTGAGATACTTTAAAATATAGAAGCACGTAATCTCGAGGCTAACTTGTATTATTAAAAGGAGAGGATAAAACCCTATCCTTAAGCCAAGTGGCAGCATAAAGAAAAGGCACATGGCATAATTAGTTACTAATTAGTTTTTTAGTTAATAATTAGTTATTAGTTATTATATTTGAATTTAAATATCTATAAAAACAAAAATAATAAAAAAAAACATATAATATATATATATATATATATAT